GGTGCGGCGCCCGGGGACAGCGGGGGGGGTGGGGACAGCGCTTCCCGTTCGGTGCCTGCACTTCCCCTGCGCTTCCCTAGGTACTGGGCCAACCTGAAGCTCTGGTTCAAGCAGAAGATCAGCAAGGAGGAGTTTGACCTGGAGGCGCGCAGGCTGCTCACGCAGGACAACGGTAAAAGGGCGCCTTGTGTTTGTCTTCCTCCCGCCCCCTCGTGCCTGCCAGGCCTGAGAAGCCCTTCCCTGCTGAGTGTTGCTTCCCGAATAGGCAAGCGGCTCTGGGGAAAGAAAGAGCAAACAGGGCTCCCGTAGCAACAGTTTAAAAGCTGGGAGGTGCCCGAGCCTGCAGGGGGAAGTCCCTTTGTGGCCCCAGCCCTGACAGGCAACTTGGCTATGAGGAAATATGGTAAAATAAAAGTAAAATGCACTGTTCCAGCAACCAAAATACACTTTGGTGTGTCCCTGTCATGGTGGAGACCCAGTCCTTTCCATACTGCACTCTCCCTTGGGTTTTGGCTAAACTGGTGAGGTGGCTGAAGTGTAGGGGAATAAAACCCCACATTTTTCACAGTGATTGTGCAGGTCTCCTTCCTGGCCTCTGGGGGTGGCAGGTTGGAGTGCTGGAGGGTGAGATTCCTCTGTATTTGCCTCTGTGTGGGTCTGCAAACGTGGGTGGGGGCTGCTCAGAGCCATGTGGGGGCTTCTGCTTTCCAGCTGTGTGATCTCTGCTGGGGGGCAGAGGGTTTGGCAGTGCTAGGCTTCAGAGGCCTTAGGCAGTTCATCTTTCCCCTTTCTAATGTGCAATTACTCACTCTGTGTTCCAGTAACCCTGCTGTGAGAAAGTTGTATTTTATTTAGAAGCTATTTGACTTAACTTCACCTTCCTGGGGTTGGCTCTTACTGGTCCTTTTCTACCAAACCCCAAATCCCTACCCTACCAGAAGTCTGTGTGGCAGGAGGGGCAACTGGTCCTCCTCTCACAGGCTGGATAAGCCCAACATCTGTGTTGTGTGCTGTAGGGCTGGCTTGGTGTGTGTGGCAATTGAGAAGTGACCTGACCTGTTCTGGTGGCCTGTTGTATCCTTTGTGTTAGGTTGTAGTAGCACTTTCTGGGTCCAGTAGAAGAAGACTCTCAAAGAAAATGCAACAAAACCAAACTTAAAATGGAAGTTGTGCCTGTTTAACTGAGCATGTGGGGAAAAGAGGGCTGTGGAAAGGCACAGGAGGGACTTTTAAGATGGCTTTAGGCACTGGGTCCTGCTTGCTGCTAATCGCCTGTCTGTCTTCACACAGTCCACTCACACAACGATTTCCTCCTGGCGATTCTGACCCGATGCCAGATCTTGGTTTCTGCACCAGGTGAGTCCTGAAAAGCCTCAATAAAAAGGCCTGGGCAGGAATGCTTTGCCATGTGTGTGTTTGCTGATGTTTGTACCAAGTGCTCCCATTTTCTGGGCTGTAGTATTCATGTTCTTTCTGCTGTACAGGCAGAAGGGCAGCAAAGTGTTGATCCAGCTGACTTCAGCAGATGGGCTTGTATAAATTTGCTGTGTGTGCTGGGTGCTGTGTATGATAAGCTAGTTTGATTCCTGAGTGGGGTGTGTGCTGGGAGCTGGTGTGTAAAGGGACATGCTGTTTTACCTTTGATCTGTGTTGCTTTCTGTGTCCCCTTTCCTCTGTACTTGGTGATCTTCCTTGTTCCTCTGCTGGGGATGTAATTCTGGGGAGCTGGATTTTCCTGACTGATCTGAGAATTGAATACTTATCTGATAGAAAGATGCTGTGAGTGCTAATAGGCAGTCTTGATTCAGCTATGTCCAATTAACCAACCAGATGCAGGTTATTAACATTCTGACTTTGTCAGCATTTAGAGCAGCTGCAGTCAGGGTTGCAAGATCTTTTTTGTTTGGTCTTCAAAAGAGCTCTCAGTGCAGAGGTCTGATAGGGAGGACAGCTGAGCTGCAGTTCAAGATGGGAAACAGCTGTGTGGGGAGGGAGAGCACCTCCTCCCCCTCCTTCTCACTGACCTTGGTGACTGCAGAGCTCTTATATTCTTGCTCTTCTCTCTGGCTGCAGTTGCTGTTGTGCGGCAGCTTTTTCCCCTTAACTCTGTTACCTTAATTCTGGCCTTGGCTTTGTCAGATGTGGGGGCAGCTTCTCACTGAAGCCACCCCTGTGGCCCCCCTGCTAGCAAAGCCTTGCCTCACAAACCCAGCACAAGTTTCCTGCAGTGAGACCTTACCTGTTATTAGAATATCTGATGTAGCTGCAGGAAGGAAAAAATGCAAAATTCATGGATGCCCACAGATTTGTGTCGTAGCTGGTCCTTAGTTACACCAGCTGTGCTAATTAACTGCTAACCTCTCTCACCTGCAAGCTTGCTTGAGCTTTACAAGCCCCTTTCAAGTCCCAGACTTGTCTCGAGCGCTCTGCAGTCATGCTGCTCAGAAGTTATGTCTAGATCTTACTGCTTCTTTGGATGGAGAGCAGTTCCAGCAGGACTGTACAAAGAGCACAAGAGCAGCCATTCCTCTGTGAGTAGCACCTGAAGTAGCTGAGTCTGGGTGGGGAAGGGAAAGGAAGGAGGGAGGGGCCTGTGTACCCTGAGGTCACTGTGGGGCTGATGTGAGTGTTGAAGCAGAGGCTGTAGCCCCTGCTCTTGCTTCTGGGGGGCAGCAGTCAGATTAGGGTCCATCCCTGTGTGACTGGGGTTGTTATTCCTGTGTTCATCACTGTGCTTCATTGTCTTGGATTTCTTTTGTCTCTCTGTCCAGCCACTTAGCCTTGGGCAGGTCTTGCAGCCAGCCAGGCTTCACTTTCTATGGCTTGAGTAGCTCAGGTTTGTCAGCAAACTCTGCTAGCTCCCCTCTGCCCCCTTTTTCAGAGTTCTCTAGAAATGTGTTAAAAATAGGAGCCCCAGCATAAAGCAGCATGGTGCCCTCTAGATGTCTCCCGTAGGCCTGTTATTTCCTGCCTGACCTTTTTAATTGCAAGTCCTTGCAAGGATTTTTTTCCTCCTGTCCCATTGAAGCTTACTGTCTTTAAGAGCCCCCGAAGGACCCTTCTTTGTTGTGCTTCAGCATATCAGTAATGTTGTGCTAGCTGACCTTACCAGGTGCTTACCAGGTGACCACCTGGTCACCTCCAGTGCTTTCAGGGAGGGTTTTGGTGGCTCTGTGTCCACATCTGCATAAACCAGCTAGAAAAAAGTTGTGTGTGTTCTTAAAGATACAGGTTAGTGCTCTGCAGTTAGCAGTACATGCTGTTAGCTCCTTCTGGAGTGTCTCTTACCTCTTCCTGGGCTATGGACTAGTAGATCTGTTACACATTGTACTTGCCAGGAAAGTGAAGTGTGAGTGGAATACTAGGTATTATATCTAGATATAATTTTCTCCCCTTAGGTGCCAGTCTGAGACCTGCTAGTTTGTTGTTTTTTTTTGTTGTGGTTTTTTTTCTCCTTTTTCCTGTTTTTTTTGTTTTTCCCCATGTAAGAATGGAAAGCTCACAGGCTTTTTTCTCCACCACTGTCTGTTGGGTAAAAGGTATTTACTTTGTGATGCATAGGAAGAAGCGTGCTTGATGCACTTGGCACTCCATCTCACAGGTTGCTTGAGCTTGTACTTTCCACCTTCATGTGAGTGAGACAAAGGGGGAAGAGCCATCTTTAAAACAGCATTTTACATTAAAAACAATATATGGTGTGTTTAGCTTTAAGTGTACTTGATATTGTGGCATTTGGACTAGGAAACCTTGGGGAAGGTGTTTTTAAGGAGTGTTTGTGACAATATGTTGAACTGTGATAACCCATCTGATGCACCTTCTGCTTCCTCTGGTGGTAGTGGTGCCACCTGGGCTTAGAGGGGAAGGCTGGCTGGAGGTGACCCTTTCTGAGAAGGCTTTCTGTTTTCCCCTTAGGCTGTTGGTCACACAAGATTCTAATCCCAGTTCAGCAGCCAGGGTGGAGAGGGAGGCAAGTCTATTCCAAAGTGGGGGATGGCCAAGTGCTTTAATTCCTGCTTTTTTCTGGGAAATCCTAAATCTGACATCTCTTCCCATTTTAAAAATGGGGGGTGGTGTTCCCTCTGGTAGCCATGCTTGTAAAGACACCCAGAAATAGTCAAGTGGCACCCAGCTGTAACCTAGCTGGGGAGCTGTGAAAGTGCCTGAAGAATGTCCCAGAAACAAGCCATCCAAAATACTAGGGAGTGCACTGATGGTGACTTCAGGCTGGCTGTACCAGCCCAAGTGGTGTGGTACACTTCCCATTACAACAGAATCATTTCATTTGGTGGTCCCTTTTTACCAATATCTTCAAAAGTGCTTTTCTGAATGTTTGTGTCTATGGTTTTTCTTCCCCAAAAAATTCCATCAAGAGGAGCTCCAGTTTAAAGCCTTTCTTAACCTTGCATAGACTTGTGTCCTAAGCTTGTTTGTTGGACAATGGCAGGGAAGCAAGTTGGCAAGGGTTCTGGAGTTAATACACACCTCACTTGAACTGTTACCTCCTTCCTTAGCTAAATGTTAACAATAAAACTGAGACAATTGTAGGTGCTTGAGTTAATGTTGTAGGGATTTAATTAATTGTCTAGCGATCTGGAGCCAACTAAGGGGTGGTTCAGTGAATTGCAACTCTTGCTGTGATATTGGGAGCATTTTATGATATCAGGGTTGCCCAGAGGCTTTGCTTGAAGGACTGCTAACTGTGAGACAGGCTGGTGTTGCTTATGTTCTGCTTCTCTCTGTAGAGCTGGGAAAGGAGGAAAAAGGGAGTTTGAGTTGTTGGCAGAGATGGATCTCATCAGGGTGTATTGGACTAAACCCTTGCAGGAAGATAACAAAAAACCCCACCAAACCACCAGCTGAAGATCAAATAAGAGTGGGAAAAATATACATTCCCTGTGCCTGGTTGCATTTCTCTGTATCTCTTTGTCCTTCCCTCCTGGGTGGTGCTGGTGCAGCACATCAGGAAAACCTGTCACACTCTGCCTGTACTGGTTGGGCTGTCACTGCAGCTCTTAGAAGAACATTCTTATCTGCTGCTCATCTTTGAAAGCATATCAGCAGCTATTGTGGCTTGTTAACAGCCAATTCTCTTGCCAGCAAGTTTAAAGAAAAGCTGCTAATATCTCAGGTTTCACTCCTGAGCTGACCTAGTATCATCATTTGTGGCCAGTGTGGCAAGAGCTGGTTTTCTTAGAATACTAGAGGGAAATTTTTCTGTCTTCACCTAGTGCAAGCCAGGCTTGATAATAGGAAAACCTGGCAAAGGAGCAAAAAAAAAAAAAAAAAAAAAAAAAAAAAAAAAAAAAAAAAAAAAAAAAAAAAAAAAAAAAAAAAAAAAAAAAAAAAAAAAAAAAAAAAAATCTGCACTGGGCTATTTATAATGGGGATAGGAAATAGTATCTCACATTTCTCTTGTGCTAAGCCAAGTCTGACCAGGTTTTTGTTAGATGTTGCAGGCCAAGATTCAGTTAAGTTGCATCTTTCAGGGTTTACTGTCAAAGCCTAAAAGTTTACTTGCCATTTAGTTTAGAAGTTAATGCTACTTTAAAATAAGCCATTTTTTAAATTTGGACTCTGCTATAACCTATTCATCTGTCATGCACAGTCAGGTAAGCGGGTGATTGCATTTTCTGTCTCTATCTGTTCTGCTTTTTCCATCTCTGCCAGCAGTCACTGTTAACTAAGGGTGCTTCTGTAAGTGAGGCTGCAGAGGAGCTGCATGAGGCTTCTGACAGGGAGGGGACCCTGGGATGGGGTGACATCTCCAGCTAGAGAGATGTGCTTTTGTTGAAAGCTTTGAAATGGGCCAGGTGGCTTCTGTATCTGTCATCAACACACCTTATCCCCTCCTGACTGGAAGGGGTCTGACCTGCTGTGGAGGAGGAAAGGACTCATCTCTAAGGAGCAAAACATGCTGTGGGAGAAGCAGCATTATATTGATAGATTCTAAGATGTAAGTGCTGAGATCTGGATGAAGGGCAAGAGTGATCCTTCAGGTGACTGTCCACGGTGCTTTCCCACACTCTACTAGGCCTCTACTCTGATGTTGTGATGAGTAGCAACACCAGTTGTATCATTTTTGGACATGGTTTTTTTATTATCTTAATTTCCACCTGTATTGATCAGTGGCTTTTGACAACAGGGTTTGTTGTAGGCTGTTGGGTTTTGCCTTGCCCGTAAGATTTAACTAAACTTTTTAATAACTTTTTTTTTAATAGGGAGAATATGCCACCTCTCTGTTTCTAACCTTTCTTAGCAGCTGACCATTTAAAACCTTCAACTAAATCTTCTGCTTTAACCTGATCCAACATTAATGTTTTGGAAGTTTTTTTCATGGCAGGGGACACTGTGCTTATGTACCAACCAGGAGTGTGGGAAGCCCCACATAGCCAAGGACTTCCAGCCAGTGTTACTCTATGAATAGGCTGTAGTGTAACTCTGTGAATTCTGGATTACAGCAAATTAAAGACCAGTTGTTGGCACTGGATGTGAATGTGCTGGTGGGTGTAAAGCTGGTGTTGAGCCATGGCTGCCTGTGGCACCAGGAGAGAACCAGAGCTGGTTGGTTGTCAGTGCCTGGTGAATGTGCTTGAGGCTGGTTGAACTCTGAACAGTGAATGGTGGGATAGCTGCTGTCACTTCCCATTCCTGTCTGGAGGAAATGGCAAATGTTGGCTCAGGTGTGGACAGGGAGTGTCTGAGACAGCACTGCCTGGCAGCAGAGCTCCAGCCTCCACTTCGGAGGGGACAGAAGTATCTTCAGAGCTGAGTTGTCCAGGCTGCATGGAGGTGGGCAGGGGCCCTGGCACAGGGATCACTCTGCTCCCGAGGAAAAGGGATGGGAAGAAGCTGCTGATGACACAAAGCAGCGGTTGCCTCTGTAGCCACAAGAGGGCTGTCTAGTCTTTGGGTTGTGCTTCTCATTCACTGTCAGCAAGTGCGTGTTCGCCCAGTGCAAGGCTGTCCTAAGCCCTAGGGTAGCTGGGGGAATTGTGCGGGGATCCTGTAAACTCATCAGATAACGACGCAGCTGGGCAGTCCCTGCCAAGAGCTGCTGGTTATCAGGATGTAGTTTGGCCTACTGTAGGTGTAGTAGGTGTAGCATTAAAACAGCACATGGGGGACATCTGAGCAGCCTCCTCAAGGTGATAAGGCTAAATATGGGTTTCTGTTGGTACTACACAGTAATCTCTCTTTCAGCTGCTTGCCAGTTTTGGTCAGTCACAAGCTCATAGCTCATGTTGGTGCCATCCTGCTCGTGGGCTTGGTGGCCTTTGCAGTCCTTCCCCTCCACCCTCCTTTCACTCAATGAAGCAAGAATGATTGGCCATGATGTGCAACACAGCATGAGACAAAGCTTGCTAAAGCTGATGTACAGGCAGATGTAGTAGACTGCTTAATCCTGCTGGTTGGCATCTGACCTGAAAGTAGGTGGAAGGGGAATCCCTCTCTGGGCAAGCTTCTGTCCTCTGGATGGAACAAATGGCTTTCCCTGGAGATTGTGCTGATTTCTCTCCTTTCACCATGGGTTTGTGTGGGACAGAAACATTCACCTAAGTAATGGGTCACAAGTGAGTCAGCTATCAGGAGGCAGGCAAGGGAAAGGAAGGGCTCCCAAAAGCATTCTCCTGTGGGAAGCCACCCCTCTAGGCTGTGGATGTTGATTTTGTGTTAAGGCTTAGCTAGGGACTGAATGTTAAGGGTTTTCCTGTGTGGATGGTTTCCTCCTGGCCCTAAATTAGCAACAATTATTGAATTGAGTTTTTTTCTTATTTGTAGAAGGTGCTGGATCTCTGCCATGGCCAGGTGGCTCTGCCACTAAACCTGGAAAACCCAAAGGAAAGAAAAAAATTTCTTCAGTTCGACAGAAGTTTGATGTAAGTGTCTATGGCCAAGTGGTCATGGTTCTCTGTCATTCTGCTGGGGGTGAAGAGCTCTGCAGAGCCTGCAGGTTTTGTTACTGCCAGGGCTGGTGAAGTCCAGTGTGTGCAGTGATGTGTGTCATGTTTGAGAAACACTCAAGTTCTTGTTCACTTTGCAGCAGAGGCTCTGTACATCCCTCTGGTACTGCCACTTGTCTATTCTACAGGTGATTCTGTTCTCTGACAAGGTGGAAAACCAAGCAAAAAGACCCCAGACCCCAATTTTTTTTTTCTTCTGGTTGATTCAGCTGGATCAGCATTCCTTGTGGCTGGATGAGCACCAAAACGAGTGCAAAGGAAGAAGGGGCAGCTGTGTGGCTGGAGACAGCACAGAAGGGTGGGCATGTGACACCTCTAGGTATTCTTCTGTGAGAAGTCAGCTTGGCTCAGCCAAAGTGTCCACCACACTTCTGGGCAGGGTAATTGTGCTTCAGAGGCTGGTGTCTCAGAGGGATGGGGCCAGCTGAGGGCCTATTGTGTTTAGAAAATGCTGAAATATTTTGCAGTGTTCACAGCTACAGCCTGAAGTCTGATGACAGACTGTGTGATCTTTCCATTTTAAAACTTCACCCTAACCTTTCAGTAGCATGTGCAGGAGAGTTTGAGAAGCAAGTTGTGGCATAGTGGAATTCTTGGAATTTGGTTTAGCTGAGTACCCCTACAATACACCACATTTCTAGCATGTGTTTATACATGGGTTCCTGGAACATTTGGTAGCAAGTGCTGTGTGAAGTGTATGTTATGGTTAGTGGGCTTGTCTCTAACTAGTGGAATTCCTGAGTAGTGTGAACTTGAAGGGCCTTGATATTCCCTGGTGCTTCCCTTACTGGTCAGAATAACAGCTGTGAGTGACCACATGGCTTCATTCCAACTGGCTTCTGCTCTTCCAAACCACATTCCTCTTAAAAAGTTGCTTACCTTTTGAAGGTCTTTTCTTCCAGGCATACAGACATGTAGCTTTCCTGTAATGAAAGCATAAGTCTTAAGAATTACAGGGAGGGAGATATGCTTTCACATCACGAGTGGGTGGATTGGTTTTTCACTCTGAGTTAAATGCCACACTGTCCTTTGAATAAAGCAGCCTCACTTTGTCTCCTGAAACTAAGATGTGAGAATTCCACTCTGCTGTATAGTCATTGTTTGTATTTAAAGTTTTTGGTTTTGTTTGTATTGCTGCTCCCTAAGAGCCTTGTGGCAGGCTCCATTCTGGAACCACTGGATTTGTGGCTTGCAGAGCTCAGGAATGGGATTTGTGGGAGTACTTGGTGAATCAGGGCCATGTTATTCCCTTGTGGGTTGGGACTGGGCCAAGTGCATTTCTGGGCCCTCTGATTTTTCCCCACTTTGCCTGGAGACTGAGGCTTCCTAGGAGCCACCACAAGGGCTCAGAGTTGAGACCCAGCACAGCAAGGGAATCATGTTGGAAATATGTGACCTGGGACACGGGGTTGCCACCTGCTGGTATGAATTCCTGTTCTGCGATTTTTATTTTTTTTTCCTAAATAGCTCAATTCTGAAAAACAGCCATAAACTATCTCAGAATCAGCAGCTGCTCAGTAACATAGCTCTGCTTAGAGAATTGAAAGGGCAAGGGGAGACTAGATTATGACATTTGGGACAGGAGTTTGGCAAAGTTTTTGCATTTAAAGCTTTGAAGAAATGTAAAAATCACTTAAGACTCACATAAGCTTAGGACCGTGGTTTTTAATCTTGATGGAAACTGTACAGTTAGTAAGTAGAAGTATGCAAGACAAAAAAATAGACAAGAACCCTTCAGCATAAAATGAAGTGACTGAGAAATGTGAAAGTCATCACTGGCCTGGATGGCATGAACGGTTAAAAGGGAAAATGACTGACCACATTTGAGACTTATGAGAGAATCAAATTAATCTACTAGGTGGGAAGCACACAGCAAAAGAGAGGAGATGAGTCTTAATGTGGTGTGTTGTTACACTGCAGAATTTCTTGCTGCAGGATGTTGTGGATGTCTGAAGTTTAGATGGTTCAGGGTGCTGCTGGATGAGTCCATGGGCTGTTTTTAATAAAAGTATCACAGAATGTACACCAACACTGGGTCTGAAACTGTTCCAGTCACAAATTGTTGTGGCCTCGGAGAGTATCCCGGGGAGGAATATTGCTCTGCTTGTCCTACTGTGACACATTTTTATAGGTGTTTGCTTTCTGACTGGAGAGGGCATGTTTGGCTAGATGAACCAAAGGGTCTGACCAATATGTATCTTCTTACACTCTAATGTTGTGTTGGTAACAGCACCGGTTCCAGCCTCAGAATCCTCTGTCTGGAGCCCAGCAGTTTGTGGCAAAGGATCCCCAGGAGGATGATGATTTGAAGCTGTGTTCTCATACCATGATGCTTCCTACACGTGGCCAGTTAGAAGGAAGGATGATTGTAACTGCCTATGAGCACGGGCTGGACAATGTCACCGAAGAGGCTGTGACAGCAGTTGTTTATGCTGTGGAGGTGAGACTGGGCTGGGCAATGGTTCTGCTCTCTTTACACCAGCAACAAAAGGCTCTGGCTGCTGGTATGGGGCAGTGTCCCTCAGGGGAGAGGAAACCTGCTTCTTGCTGCCTGTTTGCTTTGGGAGGAGTAAGGCGACACTCAAAGGGCTTCCAGGTTTGTGGCATCGCAGATATAAAGTCTTGGATTTCTGCCTGCAAGTGTGAATTCTAGGGTGTTTGTGTAGGAAGAACACCAGGCATTCTTCTGCAGCTCCTGTCACTTAAAAGCAGAGAAAGAACAGGAGCTCCAGCTTGAACAGTTCTATTAAATACAATCTGTTACAGGGGCAAGTATCTGGCATGGAAGCACAGTGGCAGAACCAGGTAATACCTGCAGGTGAAGTGCCTGCTGCTGATAGTTTTGGCCATCAGTGACAGGACATTAGCTGACATAATCCAGGAATGGTACAGCTATTGGCGCATTGAGGTTTGGATAATTTTCTGGAGCCAGGAAGTGGAGGCCAACCTGAATTCCCGATCTGGGAGTGAGGCCAAATTAAGAAGCAGTTGTCTGCTTGTTTTTTTCAGGCAGTTGCTTCTCCAGCACTTTCCAGGCAACTGAACAGTCTAAAAAAGAAGAGTGGCTTTTCACTGTAGTTTTAGGGCCAGTATTTCAGTAAGAGTATAACATTGGCTGCCAATTATGAAATCTCTTCTTATCAAAGGGATCAGAAGTTGGGAATTCCCTGGCATTTAAGAAACTTCTTTGACATTTAAAGCAAAACATCACATCTTAAAGTATAGTTCACAGGCTAATGCATGCAGTGCTCTCTGCCTCCAGATGTCCCAGACAGGGAAAACATCCTGACCCTGAACCAGGTCTTGGTTCCCGTATGTTTTTGTGACCTCAAGGTCACAGCATCACTACTAGTGCCTTGCCCGTTGGTGAGGCCCTTCTCATAGCTGTGGCTTGGAAAGGTGAATAAACTGGCTTGTGTAATAAGGTTGTTTTTCCACTGCAGAACCATCTGAAGGATATTCTGACCTCTGTGATTTCCAGGCGGAAGGCCTATCGCCTGAGGGACGGCCACTTCAAGTACGCCTTTGGGAGCAACATCAACCCTCAGCCCTACTTGAAGAACAGTGTTGTTGCTTATAACAACTTAATTGAGTGGTAAGGAGCTCTCAGCCTGCTGCTACTTTCACATTTGCTAGTCCCAGAGTTACTCCACAGTCCAGATTATCTTTTTACTTGGTTGAATCTGTTACTAATGGTGTTCAGCTTTCACACACTAAGAAGGCATCTGTATGGAGCACTGTCCAGCTCAACAGGCAGGGAGAATATGGAGATTGCTCAGCAGTGGAGTTCAGGACAGTCTTAATTCTGTCTCTTGCCTGCGCTTGTCTGTCACTTTATGAAGGTGTGACCCCTGGCCCTCTGGGTGTTTCTAGTAATTACTGCTTTTTGGCAAGCTGTAGTGAGTGACACACAACTTCTGCTGCTCTTTGGAAAACTGCCTCTGGGCAGAAGAGCCCTGCCTTTGTAGGAGTACTGCTGTTGTGCTACAGGACTGAAACATCCGTGAGGATCTGCAGGACACTGCCATCCTCTCATTTCCTGTATCCACATCTATTTATGGTTCCTTGGCAGGCCTTTCCAGTTAGCAGACCTTCAAGGTCATCTTGTTTTCCAGATGCTTGTTCTCAGGCAGCTCATGCTGTGCCTCTGGCAGGGTATGTGTGTGAGAAGGCAGTTGTGTTTGTCTGTGGCAGCTTCTAGTAGTTGGCAGGAGCTGGTGGGTGTTTCAAGATCTCGTAACAGCACTGCAAACACTGCAGGTGCAATCCACTTCAAACAGCTCTGCCTAACACCTAATGTCTTTCCATTGAATGTCGTGAGTGCCTTACGTTTTATGCTGGGTAGAAAATATTGGCTGTAAATAACAAGTTAGTTGTCCAATCAAGACCAGTTAGGTAAGTTTGAAGCCTGTTGAGATTGGTTTGCACTATTTTTATTGAAATGGAATTGTAGAGAGATTTTAATTACAACTGAAATAAGTCGTAAGGGCTAAGCCAGCTGAATCAGAAAAGCAAACGCTGGGGCCAAGCCCCTGCTGTGACTTCCAAAGCTGGTGCTGCCTTCCTGACCAGGTTTTCCTGCCTCCAGCCCTCCAAGCTGTGCGGCACCGCCTGCTGGTCAGAGTCTGGCCCCGCAGCCCCTGCCCGACGATGCGGAGCAGCAGGCAGCCCTGCTCCTGGCCTGCTCTGGAGACACCTTGCCAGCTTCCCTCCCACCAGTCAACATGTATGACCTTTTTGAGGCGTTGCAGGTAAGCTGTGGATGCTACACAGGTAGTGTTGCCCTGAACACCAGCTCCCAGTCTTGGATCTGGTTTATGTGCATGGAGGGGGATTTGATTTCTCATTCTACAGTTTGTTTCCTTCTTTCCTCTCAAGAGGGAAGAGACCTTGGGCTGTTTAGTCTTGAGAAGCCTAAGAGGGAACCTTATTAATGTCTATAAATATCTGAAGGGTGGATGTCAGGAACGGGCCAGTCTCTTTTCAGTGGTTCCCTGTGGTAGGATGAGGGGAAATGGCACCAAGTTGCAACACAGGAAGTTCAACCTCAACATGAGAAAACACTTCTTTATTGTGAGGGTGACAGAGCACTGGAACAGGCTGCCCAGAGAGGTTCTGGAGTCTTCTCTTCTGGAGATATTCAAGGTCTGTCTGGATGCAGTCCTGTGTGATCTGCCCTAGGTGTTCCTGCTGCAGCAGGGGATTGGACTCTGTGATCTTCAGAGGTCCCTTTCAACACCTATCATTCTGTGATTCAAATTTACAATTAGTTGGCTTTGACTTGTCCCCCCTATTAGGCAGCTGTTAACATAGTCAGCTCATGGTTCAATGCCTGTTCTGTTCCCCTTGGTCAGAGAGTTGATGAGGAAATCCCTGTCTCTTCTTACAGCTACACAAGAGGGGTGACCTCTTTCTGTGTAGCAAGACACAGTGATGGTATCAGAACTGGGCTAGATTGAGATTTTGACAGTGATGCAGCAAAATGACTTGCCTGGCATGTCTCTTCTTAGCCACTGGGGTATTTAGAGGAATACTTGGTCTTCCTGCAGTGGGTTAGCTCTCGGGAGGTGTCTGAGGTAGGCTGGATGAATCTTTCTATGGACATATATGCCTGTGGTTCCCTCACTCTCTGGCAGCTTTGGGGACACCTGAGTATCTAAAATCAGCTGTGAGGAATTCCCCCATGGTCTCTGCTGTTGTGAACAGACCTTGGGATGTTGTCTTAAGGCAGACCATTCATTGCAAGAGTGTAGTCAAGCATTTGTCTCCTGTGTGTAGTGAGAATTGTTGTGTGTAAAATGTTGATGATGTTGTTTGTCATCGCAAGAGCAAATTGACAATTTCCTTGCAACCTGGTGTAACAGGTGGCTGTTCTGTGCTGGCAGTGGGCAGTGCTGGCATGATGCAGCTCTCCTGTGTGGCAGCCTGTGTTCCTGCTCTGCAGGGCTAGCTCTCTGATTTGTCCTGTAGCAGAAGGAGGTTCTTCCATGGACAACATGAGGAAATGTGTATGAAAGCATTAAACTTTTCTAACATTTATCTCCAGGTCCACAAAGAAATTATTCCTGCACACACTGTCTATGCTCTAAACATTGAGAGAATTGTCATGAAGCTCTGGCACCCAAATCATGAGGAGCTGCAGCAGGACAAAATTCATCGCCAGCGCCTGGCAGCAAAGGAGGGTCTTCTGCTCTGCTAGAGCTTGGCAGCCCTGCCAGGCCTTGGATGGCCACGGTGCTGTTCCTTGGACTTGACCTTCAGAGGCTTCTTACAAACCCATGTCAGCATTCCAAGGATGATGTAAGCTATGAGTCAACTTTTCCTATGGAAATATGACTGAGGTGTGGTACACCTTCTCTGCTTCCCCAGAGTCACTTACTGTGGAGTGTTTGCTGCAATCCCACTGAACTGGAAATGAGAAACAAAGTATTTGTTTGCTAAGACTATTTTCTAGGAAAAATAAATGTGAGGGTGGAAAGAGCTGGTTTTAAATAGGGTGCATTTGTGTTTTCTTTTGTGAGCATGGGAAATACCTCCTCACCCTCCCTTAGGTAGTTCCCCTTCTGAGCTCAGTGTTCAAGGGCTTTGTCCAACTTCTGTTGCAGTTGATGGGATCCTTTTCCATTCATTTAACTGGCAACAGGGTGGGCTTTTGTGAAGATGAGCAATTCTGTAAGCTGACATTGTTCTTCTACCAGGAGAACTTCTGATTAGAAACTCTGAGAAAGCAAGGCAAAAAGGGGAAGGTCACTTCTAGCCTGCCTTTTGAACTGTTTCTCACCATGGAACATGAAGGTGTGTGCACTGTTGTAGGAATCCCTCACCAGTTATCAAAACAGATAATAAAACCAGGGTTGTGAGTAATGTGTTGCTGTCATCCTAGTCCTTCACTCACCCCTGTCTTGTAGTAGTTGTGATCAGAGACTACAGGAGTTGTGTGACCTAGTACAGTACAGCTAATAATTTCGCCACCCCAGCAGGCAGCTTGACTACCTGCCTTGTCTCTGAGGTGGGACAGCAGCTCCCCAACACAGATACCAGTTCACTGTCTTAGTGTAATGGACTCCTTGGATTTGCAGCATGAACAAAATGTCTCACATTACTTTGTCATAAAAACATGCACCCACATGTCTCCACAATGGGGAGCTGTGCAGATCACTGTATGAAAGGGGACATTCCACTTGCTGTGTTTCAGGAGCTCTCTGCCCCTCAGGTGCTGGAGGGAACAGGCTTATTTTAACACAGGAATGCTATTAAAATATCTTAATTACTATATTACCTGTTGTTAACCACTCTTGTGGATGTACCTACTGAAGGATGACTTGGCTTATTGTGCCTCCAGGCAGCAGAATTGAAACAGCTTCCTCTGAGGAAATAGGAAAGGGAGAGCTTATGGTTCTCCTCCATTCTAGTTTTCTTCTGTTCTGGAATTACTTGGATAGGAGAGATGTCATATTGTCCCTTTCCTGTGCAGTTTCCTTCTCTACTGCTCCTCCAGGGAGCAGATTTCTTTTGTTCCCTTCATCTTAACTGCCATTTTTTTCTGTCCTGAAGCATCCATAGCTGTTCAGAGTGAGCCTTAGCATAAAAAAAATTACCCCAGTGGCTTTTACATGAGAGTTTTTAAAAGCCATATTGAACCCAAGGAACTGTGTGTGGTGAGATCATCAAGTCAAGGTATGGACTCGGGTGTGGGTGGGGGATTTCCCAGATAATTGTTATGTTTCTGGTGTAAAATGAAAGCATTAAATTTGTTTGCTAGAAACTTGGGGGCAGCTCTGAGGATTTCAGATCTGAAGCAAGCATGCAGCCTCCAACTGCATCACAAGTGAGTTCTGAAACAAAATACTAAGTGTGGCACAAGAAGCTCCTCTCTGCTATTTGTATGTGCTGAGGGAAGGCTCTGCAGACACAGCCTCAAGTTCTGAAGAGCTGAGTCAGCCATTCCACACTGAAAAAAGTGAGCTATTTGGGACATAGAAAACAAAGGCTCAAAAAAGGAAATCCTGTCAGCCTCATTTCACGCATGGGAAAACTGAAAGGCACATCTCGATGCACTTTCCCACAAAGAGTGAAGTCCTGTGAGAAGTGGTGCTTCATAGATGTCTGGGGTAATTTAGCTGGGACACCTGGAGGCTGCTTTGTCCAGCCCCTGCTGAAAGAAGGGCTAAGTTAAAAGTTAGAGCAGGTTGTCTGTCTCTGGAGATGGCTCCAGAGAAGTGGTGGCATTTCCTGTTCCAGTGTGACTGTGCTGACAGGGAATGTTTTCCCTGCATCTCATCAGAATTTCTCATGTTGTACCTGTGCCTGTTGCCTTTCAGCTTTACCTGTGCCTCTTTGTGTCTCTCCATCAGAGAGCAGCAGGTATCTGCCAGGCCTTTCCTGCAAAGCTACTTTCTTACCTGTTGTCTCCAGCCTGTTCTGCAGCAGGGGGTTATTCCACTCCAGTCAGTGGTAGGGCTGTGTGTTTGCTGTTGAACTTACTGAGGTTCCCCTCAGCCTGTTTCTCCAGCTTGCCAGGTCCCTTTGAGTAGCAGCTCTGCCCTTTGGTGTATGAACCACTCCTCCCAGTTTGGTGACATTTGCAGACTTGCTGCCCATGTGCTCCATCCTATCATCCAGCTCAGCAGCAAAGATACTGCAGCATAATAAGGCTCAGCATTGACTCCTGTGTTGGTCCCAAGAGTGAGTGTCACTAGTAACCAGCAGCCAGATGGACTCACTCTTTGTGGGAAGGTGCAGTGAGATGGCCTTTCAGTTTTCCTATGTGTGACACGAGGCTGACAGGATTTCCTTATTTGAGCCTTTGTTTCCTAGCAGATGAGGTTTAATAAGACCAAGTGCCAGGTCCTGCACTTTGGTCATAACCCCATGCAAAGCTACAGGCTTGGGGATGAGTTGTTGGAAAGCTCCATGGTGGAGAAGAACCTGGGGCTGCTGATGGAGGACTGACTTACCATGAGCCAGCAGTGTGGCCAGGAAGGCCAACGGCATCCTGGTCTGCATCAGGAATAGTGTGGCCAGCAGGAGTAGAGAGGTGATCATGCCCCTGTACTCAGCACTGGTGAGGCCACACCTTGAATACTGTGTCTAGCTGTAGGGCCCTCACTACAAGAAGAATGTAGAGCTGCTGGAGCATGTCTAGAGAAGAGCTACCAAGCTGGTAAAAGGTCTGGAGAATAAGCCCTATGAGGAGAGGTTGAGGGAACTGGGATTGTTTAGAGAAGAGGAGGCTGAGGGGAGACCTTATTGCTCTATGACTACCTGAAAGGAAGTTGTAGGGAGGTGGGAATTGGCCTCTTCCATCAGGTGAATAACGACAGGATCAGAAGAACTGGCCTAAAGTTGCACCAGGGGAGGTTTAGACTAGATATTAGAATTTCTTTACTGAAAGAGTGATTAGACAGTGGAACAGGCTGGCCCGGGGGGTGGTGGAGTCACTGTCCCTGGAAATATTTAAGAGAAATATATAGTGCTTAGCAGCATGATTTAAGCACTGATTGGGTAGATTGGGTTATGGTAGGGGGATTTAGGTTATGGTTGGACTAGATGAACTTCTGGGATGATTCTGTCCAGGGTTAGGACTCTAGCATTAAGGGTCTACGTGTAAGTGGTCTAGATTAAATGGTCTAGGGTTAAGGGTCGAGGGTAAATGATCTAGCTAATGTGGTGGTGTTAGATCATAGGCTGGACTTGATGATTTCAAAGTCTTTTCCAGCCTTGGTGACTCTGCGATTCTGTGACTCTGGATCACTGGCCACTGCTCTTGGAGACCTGCCCTGAGAGCTGGGTGCTGATGGTACTGCTCTGTGTCACTGTTAGGCTGGTGGCTTTCACTGTGACATGACATACATCTGCAGTATAGTAATCAGTGCTCTGAAAGAAGTAAGATTGCTGAATTTCAAAGAGGCAGCTCAAAGTAGCACTGAAATGAGTTTGAAAGGATCTATTTCTGCCCCAAGACTCACCAAGAACCTAAAAGGTCTATGGCAAGCTGAGCCTGACCAAATGACTTCCTGACAGATGTTAGCTGAAAAACTTAAAATGGAAGCTTTTGGAGTTATCTTGGACAACCTGTTGTGCTCTTTAATGTGCTTCAGCACTGAAGGCTTTTTTCACGGTCCTGTACCTCTTGCAGCTTACATCTGGAACTTGTTGTGTTCATCCTGGAGTATTGTATGGAAGACCAGAGGGAAGGAATGAGACATCATCTGTCACATCCCCAGTAGCAAGAACTGCATCCTAGATTCTCAGTCCCATGGGAGCTGAGCAATGTACTGAAAGCTGACATGTGGGAGCTTCAGCTGCTTCTAGCTTCCACTTCTGGATTTGCAGTGGAAGATGAATAACTACCACATGAAGATGTGGGGAAGAAAAAAGTGCTTGAGAGCATTGCTGGGTTCACTTCATAGCCAGAGTTTGAGTGGAGGTGGCCATCTGATCTCAGGATGTGGCCAATGCCCCTGGGAGTGTAGGATACAGAAGGAAAATACTTTACTTTCCAGACAGTTCCAGCTGCCAGATTTGGTATGAGTCTGACCAGGTGTTCCCAGCTGGGTGCCAAGGAGGATCCTAAAGCTGTGACTATAGGCCTTGGCACTCTAAATAGTAAAACTCTTGCTCCCAAAGCTGGTGACCAGGGAAGCTGTTTCTCATTGCTGGTTCACAGCAGAAACCTGGAGCATAACACCTGCTGTCAGACATGGACTGAGCTGCTCTGCTCTTTAACTGTGCTCACTTACCCACTCCCAGCTCTGCAGCTGTAGCCTGGGCAAGTCACCGGGGTTGTGTTGTTGGTTATCATTAAAGAGTATTATAGTTTCCATTTGAATTTCTGAAACCAGTTTCCCGTTGGTGGGTTTTGTCATGTCTTTGTTCAATTTAAAAGCTCCCACAATCAGATATCTCTTTTCTGTGCAATGACAGCCACTTCTGAAACTCCACTCTGATAAGAAAGAAGGCGCTGGGGTTGCTTCCGTCTCACAGGAAGGGCTGCTGGCCTTGCCATGGGGCAGCCCATAACCTCTTTAAACCCTTTAAAGGTTGTTCCACCTCCTTTTGGAGGGCTGAGGTGGGACTCCTGTACAAGACCTGGCAGTGGTGTATGCAGAGGAAGACACATTCTGCTTTTCTTTCCTTCTTCCTCCCTCCATGTGCACTGCTGCCCAGCTTGCTCTGGCATCATGAAGCGGTGGCTTGGCCCTGGCTGAGCCATCTTCCAGGGAAGCTCCTGGAAGTTTGTCCTGGCACAGGTAATTACAGAAAAGCCTTCTGTTGGTCTTTCCACTTCAGTGCAGGCTTGACTGCAGCAGTAAAGACACTCCCAGATGGTTTTATTTCTATCTGGGAAGATGTTCCAGACAGGTTCATCAGAGTCATCAGCAGGTGCTTGTCTGTGTGCAGGAGGAGGTTGGCACAAAGCCCTTCTGTGAACTGTAGGCTTGATTTTCAGATATTTTTTTATTAGACTATCTGAAATGCTGATAGTAGCA